TATATATATATATATATAAGCTTCTCGCTGCACTCTAGTCGTTACCTGAGACTGTGGGATGGTCCGCTCCATGCCTCTCCAGAGCCAGCAGGTAGCTCTTCCACAGACCCATGGTCCAGGGGCAGTTCCTGACTGCACGTTCATGAGTGGAGAGAACCAGGTCTTTGACCTTCAGCTGACGGTCCTGTAGAGTCCACAGAGAACAAACAACAAGAAGATTAAAATAATCTGTAACAGAGCGGAACGATTTATTACTGAAGATTTAATCAGTCACTTCTAGATGCGACCATTTTCTCACATCCCATCAGGTTTTCCTTCATTACTGTAAAGTCATATATATATATATATATATATATATATATATATATGCATGCTACTAAACACTGAAGACACCAGCCAAACCTTTAACATTCAAATATGAGTCGGTCAGAATCACATTTAATCAAACAGGAATTTGACCACTTTAACCTTCAATTTCTGTGTTGATACCATTTGTAAAACAGATTTGTGCAACATTTAAAATGATTTAATAAAATTGGTCAAAAAAAACTTTAAAATACCACAATGAGTCACCAAGACCTTGAGGAACGTCATAGAAAACCCATGCTGTGCTTTGGTATCAAAAGCCTTTGTTTCGATTGGATGTCGAGCCCTGTTTTTATGTCAGAAACTACATTACAAAAATTTTTATTAAATCTATTTCAAGAGAAGCTGTTTGGAGAAATCCATGGCTGTATTTTACCAAGATAACCTTGGTGCAACATTCTGACCACAGCTGTTAAGCTCTGGCTGGCAGACGATGGAGTTGGAGTTAGGCGCTGAATAAGAGCAGTCAGTCCAGGAGGCAGTGCCATGTGAAACCAGTCCAAACTCCACACAGTAAACATTACAGTCCGACTTGGGAGCCCTTACGGGACAGCACCATGCCAAGCACTGACCGATACTCACAAGATATATTGTGCATTTTGCCCACATGTCGGGTACAAGGCAGTTCTCTGCCAGAGTCCGCTCGAAGAGCATCTGGATCCGTGCAGGGTCGCCCTCCTTCAGTTCAAAGTCAATGTAGGACTGATACTCTGCCAGCTTAGGAGGTTCTGCTGCTATCTGCAGCAAGACAACAGCATGCAGACAAGATGCATCAAAAAACAATGCACACACAAGGACGACAACTGCAACAGACAAAACTAGCACTTCAAGTCAGTTACCAGTGCTTCTTCAAAAGGTTTGCACTTCGCCATCTGCTGCAACGCCCTTTTGTACTGATGTACGACCGTCTCAGCCACCCCGTCTTCAGACCACTCTTCATACTCCGCATAGGTGGACTCCATGTCTACAAGGCAACGGAGCACAATGTTCTCAAAGTTCAGACATTTCTAAAACATCGTCAATAAAGATATTTACACCACACACAGTATTTAGAGTAACATTGAACAGGAATTGAAACACTACAGAAATGCCTCTGGTCCCCATTCAGCTGGGACAGAAAGAAAACAGCACAATACTAGACCATCTGGCTACATCTCGCCCACTCCTGCAACAAACTGAAAGCGTGGTCACAGACCGAAGAGGAGTGTTCTCTTTCTAAATCTGTACCTCATTTCAGAAGCCACATCACAACCACGCCACACTTAACTTATCCAACAGGGAAGCGTTAACATTTTAAACAAGGTAATTCACAGTCTTTTCGACATATGTTTTACAGCAGCTCGTCTGGACAGAAGAGGCGTCGTGCTTACCCATTAAGGGGACGGCCAGCTGGCGACGAAACAGTGTATGGATGCGCTCGATCTGAGCTTTCAGCAGCTCCTGCTCCTCACGACTGAGAATCCTTCCAGGAGGAGGCTGGGAGGAAACACAGTGGAGAAAAGGCTGTCAGGCTTTAGCCAATCCACAGGAATTCAAATTCAGCATTTTAGGTATTTGTATTCATTCGTAAAGTGAGTGGATCATCGTTTAAAAAGCATACTTTGACACAACATTAACCTGAGAAAGGAGGATTGATATTACCTGCAAATATACAATACTGCTTTTGAGAGCAAATATTGAAACAGCGTCATAATCAGAGCATATATCCGACCAGCGATGAGAACCCAGTGATTGAAACACAAACCTGTACTGTGGACTGCATGGCGTTCTCAAACTCTCTGTACGCTTCCCACACCGCCTGGCCCTTGGTCACGTGAAGCCCCACCGCCGTCACAGCTCTCTCAAAGATGGATCTCACTTTGTCCATCCCGCCTGGTGAGCCCATGCCTCCAATTGAGTACTGAGCATATTCAAGCCAGATATCTGGACCTGGGTATAGCGACGTGGAATTAAATGTTAAAAATCACGAATTCACTGAATGTCAAATCAAAAAGGAGATAACAATGGTCGGGTGCACTCACAGATGTAGTCTTTTACAGCCGTCTCAAAGAGTTCATATACTTTCTCCCGGTTTGGCTCCTCTTCAGTCAGACGGATTTCATCCTTGAGCCAATCGAGCCAGATCTCTGTAGGGTTCAATAAAATGTGGTTTCAGTTGCAAATAATGGTCAGAGCTTTTGTCAACTGAGCCAAACACTGTATCAGACATGCACCAACCTTCAGTGAGTGGGAAAAGTTCACCCATCTTCTCCCTTGCCTTTCGCAGACGGAGAAGTTCTCCCTCCTGCTTCAGTAGTTTGATGAGATCAAGGTGGCAGTTGTAGTCGAAGGCATTGATTGACAGCTGAACAAGAACAAAAACAAAAAAAAAAAAAAAAATCACACAGAGAAGATAGGAGGATAAGATGTTAAACAATTAAAACATATCCTAAATAACACATGCTTCTTCCTCTGCATGTATTATTATAGCAGTGGCTTAGTACCACTTCCAAAGAAAATCTCATATCTCATTTATGACGCAGATTCAATCATGACATCATCTATCTAACAAGTTTATTAACGAAAAATGGATACAATCTGCATTCCTTTGACACTCAGTTGTTATGTTATTAAGTTGTTCCTAGCTAACACTGATCTAATGCACAGACTGAAGCCTAAAAAAGGACCATGAGGTTGAAAATCAACATTATGACAAAACCTTTCAGTATAACCTCCCTGAAGGTGGGATTTTCTGCAGTTATCTATTAGCCTATATCCGTTATCAGCCAAGTGTACCTAATAAACTGAGTATGACATAAATAATGATGTAGTAATGTTATAAATGTAGTTTCTCTTAAGTGTGTTAGTGGAAGCAAAGACTACAGCATCAACTGCATCACTGCAACAGATCTAACGCTACTGCCAAACATTGTTGTGAGATGTTATTAATACAGCAGATTAAACACTTTAAGCGTGCCACACAATAAAGTTAGCACAATATGTACTTTATATGTGTACATGTACTTTCTAACTAAACTACACTGAAAGCTGTAACGTCCCACTGGACTGAGGTAGTAAAGAAAAGGCGCGTGTAACACGAGAATCCATTAGCATCACAGATTAGCAGGCGAGCTAATCACGACGGCTAGCTTATTGAATGACGTCGTATCATAATTGTTTAGGATAACAATAGTAGCAGCTGTCTGTTGTATTTATTGCTTCCATTAAACCAGAGCAGGACATAACAGCTGGTCGTTGTAAAGCGTTGCTGGTTCGTTGTAGCCGACACTGTTTACCGTTCCCACCCATTCATTTTCGTTAGCTCCTCAGCTAACGTTCGTGAACTCAGCTTGGTTGTTGGTTGATTACCTGCTCCTCCAACCGTTGGATCTCTGCTTCATTTTCTTTATCGTCTTCCGACGAATTGTCCTCTTCCTCTTCTGAATTTTCTACTCCCATACCGTCCTCCTCCTCTTCCTCTTCTTCGTCCGATCCCATGTCTCTCTCCTCCATCCCTGCGTCTCCCTCCTCCATGTCCTGCAAATGCGTTTGCTCTGCGTTGCTCGATGCTGCCATGTTGGAAGTCTGTCTGCCTGGTAACAACCCACAAGAAGGAGTATCGTGAGAGGTGGAGCCTGAACGCACCGCGGACCCACTAGCAGTGATACTGTTAGCCGCTAGTAGGGGCTCCTTCCTCGGTGATACCTTCCTTCTTCGCATGTTTGTCAACAAAGACTGTTCCGTCCTCGCTCGTGCTCACTCGTTGATTTCCGGTAAACATCGGTACCTCAACATGGCGATTGTCTCTTTACGAAACTCCACGTCCACGCTGTTGTTGTTTACCAGACGGCTATTGAGCCCGGAGCTGAATGCTCTCTGTTCATATCACATAAAGGTAACTCATCAAATGTGCTTCTAGCTCGTCATTGTAACCAATGGATGCCACGTGTGTTTTAGTCACAGTTATGTAACGTTACGTGTGTTGTCTGACAGTAGCTAGTTGTCTGATCTTGTCAACACTCAAAACAACAAAGCAGTGATGTAACGTTATCATCTTTTGTTGGTCACGTTCTTCAAGGTGGTGGACCACTATGAAAACCCAAGAAATGTGGGAAATCTAGACAAAAACGCCAAGAATGTGGGGACTGGATTGGTGGGTGCACCAGCCTGTGGCGATGTAATGAAACTACAGGTAAGGTGGAGGTCAAATGCAGCCGTCATGACTGCCCACTTCCTAATGTACAACTAGGTTTGATTGCGTATTGTTTTCAGATCCAGGTGGATGAAAATGGCAAGATTGTTGATGCAAAGTTCAAGACATTCGGCTGCGGATCAGCCATTGCTTCCAGCTCTCTTGCGACAGAGTGGGTGAAGGGGAAGTCGGTGAGTTTGTATAACACTGATGAAAAGGGAAGTAGAATAATAGCTTCACAAGTCTTTTGTTTTTTGTTGAAAGTCTGCTTTCGTCCTGTAGGTTGATGAGGCTCTGAAGATCAGGAACACTGACATTGCCAAAGAACTCTGCCTTCCGCCAGTCAAGCTTCATTGTTCCAGTAAGTTCTTCATCAAACACCTGAATGCTTAATAAACAGAAAGATGGATGACAAAAAGAAAAATCCCAACTCTACTGGAGGAATGAACACTATTATCCAAAAGATATGTTTCAATGATGGTGGTGGTGGGGAGCACTGTTTTAAGTGTAACATTTCCCAGCCATGCCCAGTTTTCATACATTTTAAACTATTCAGTTTGCCGTTTCTCAACTCACTTCTTAAGGTTTTCCTATAATTTGTTACCTGGCTGAAAGTTTCTTGGTAAAATAGATGCTTCATTTTATGCTCAAAGTGCCTCTAAAACCTCATTCTTTTTCTTTCAGTGCTTGCAGAAGATGCCATAAAAGCAGCGCTGTCAGACTACAGAATAAAACAGCAGGACAAAAAGGAGTAACAAGTGCACGCCAGCAGTTAATGAGTTATTAACTTGTCAGTCTCAGTACCAGCCATGTAATGTTTCTCTGCAGTGCTGTTTGGAAGATCGGTTACCATAATACTACATCAGGTCTTGCAGCCTCTTCTTGGATTGATAATCCCCTTTAACAATCTCTTTAAACATAGCCGATGTTAATGGGGTTTCCTACACATGAATCAGAAATTACAGGCCAGGGTGTGTTTTTATTTTATTTTTGGCATTTAGGCAGTATTTGGCTATTTGCTGATCCCACATGGAGGATTCCATTTGTAAATGCAGCTTAAGTACATATACAAAATCATGATACAGAATACTGTGTGAGACTGTGTGCTTATTGTGACTCAAGTTATTAAAAACATTTTCAGTGCGTCTGTGCCGGTGTCATCCACCAGAGCCTACATCAAGCGGCGCCACCCTCTGTTGGCGCAAAAGTACTTTTTTTAGTACGAGCAGCACTGCCAGCATGAGGAGAGTTACTAATACGCATAACGTAACGAGCAGAGAGATGACCACTGCAGAGTCTTGTTGTGTGAAGGGTTGTGGGTTGCGAGTGGACCAGAGTGCATCTCTCTTTGTGGAGAGCAAAGATGGTGTCCCCTCCGCTGAGGTTGCATTATTCTGTGGGGTCCGACCTGTGATGTTGTCTCTGTATTTCTGTTCCTCATCAGGGGTAGGAGTAGTGTTTTTTAAATGGGGTGGGCTGACTGATTGTGTTTTATTTAGGGACAAACACTCCTTATAGGTAAGGGTCTCTAAAGAGTAGTGACTAAGCAACACACGAGTCTTATGAACATCTTTGAAAAGAAGTCCCACAGTGGTGTCTTGTGATTTCCGCCCTGACAAGCTTCCCAAATACCTCTTGTTTTTAAATGAGCTTGGTCCTGTGGGCTCCACCGCCAGCGTCTCCAGCTTTCCTTCCAGTGCTGAGTTAAGGTCCAGTTGGTGGCTCCTCTCATTTGGCTTCAGGACACGAGGACAGATAGCCATGACCGAGAGGTTCAGGAGCAGGCGGTGAGCAAGGTGGACCGGCTCGGTGCACACCAGGTCCGTGGCCATCCTCAGCCGACCGCTCAGCAGCCAGCGGTAAAGATACAAGATGTCACACTCGCACACCCACCGGTTGTTGGCGAGGTCCACAGATCGGAGACGCGACAGGCTGTCAAAGGCGCTCTCTGGGACTGAAAGCAGGCAGTTGCTGTTGATCTTCAGGACCTGCAGGTTGACCAGGGCAGACAGCGAGGGCAGGTCCAGGACAGAGATGCAATTTGCAGAGAGGTCTAAATGGGTCAGTGATGGAGGAAGATTCAGAGGGAGGCTTGTAAGCCTGTTCCCCTTCAGAGTCAGGACCTGTAGCTTGTTTAGACCCAGGAGTGCCCCGGGTTGAATGGCACGGATGCGGTTGTCCTCCAGGTCCAGGCGAGTGAGATTCCCCAGTTGTCGCAGGGCGCCTGAGGTGATATAAGTGATGCGGTTTTCTTGCAGCAGCAGGGACTCCAGGCTTGAGGGCAGGCCGCGTGGGAAGCGGGCCAGCAGGTTATGACTGAGGCTCAGCACCTGCAGGTCGGAGAAGGGCCGAAGTAGGTGGTCCACGTCACAGAGCTGGTTTCTGGCCACAGATAGAGCTGAGGTACTGAGAGGGACAGAGCGAGGAAGTGACCTGAGACCCAGGGACTCGCACAAAACCAGGAATCCTGGGCGAGGACAGCAGCAGCCAGGAGGACAGGGAAACGTTATGAGGCAGGCTAGAGGACAGAGTACCAGTAGGACACCACATCGGCACCAAAGCATGACTCACTGCCAGGAATAAGGGAGAAGACACAACCGCGTTAGACACTTTTCTCACTTGCTTTAACACAAAGCACCCTTTATGTATGGTTTATAAACTGTAACAAATGGCTTCATGTAAACCCGGGACAAAGGGTGACAATAGAATACAGTACCAAAAAATAAATAAAGGCTTAGCACTTACCATTTTTGTCTCCTGTATTATCTGCTCCTCTGAGGAGATGGGCAGGCTGGTGGTCCTTACATGATCCTCCGTCTTGCTAAAGATATGACCACTGCTGCTGTTGAGAATTCCTGGCAGATGCTCATCAAAGTTTAACGACAGCCTTCAGGTGCTGCATTACCTATTCTGGATCCTCTTCACCATTCAAATTGATTGAGAGGTCATATTGCTTGTCAGTGGCAGACAGTGAAAAGAGTTAAAATTCACAGAGAAAAAAACTGCAAGGTGAGATAATCTATGTAAAAGAAGAAAGAAATAAAAGATACAGGTGTAATACTTCCTTATCTGAGGTGACCAAGGTTCCTTGAACTCAGACAGACTGAATATCAAACAGGCCGTGGACGAAGAGCCTTGGTGGGTGGTCCTGTGGCCGTGTGTCTTCCCATCACCTGGTGGGAAGAGTGAAAGTGAAGGGGTAGTATTTGCTCGAATTATTTAGCACCTCATTGACAAAAGAGCAGGGAATCTGACACTGGTGCAAGGCACTGCCAGAGCTCACGTTTCATCCACCACGGGGTTACGCTTGCCTTTGTGCTGTTGTGCTGTTATCTTTGATGTTTGATCTTCAAAGAGTTGACCCATTCATGATTAAGCGCAAACTTTATTTACAACATTTTTCTGCTTCAGACATTTTAGCAATGCTTAATCACATTTTAAAACATTTGTAATGATTTTTTTAAAACAGATTTCATATATGTGTACCCATATCAAGATGGTTTGGTAAATACGATGTGCATTAACAAACAATACTTGCACTTTCCGATATGATCAATCTGAGGTATGAAACTGAGCTCGAGGCTGAAAGAGAAAGGAGCGACAGCCTTCAGAAACAGCTTGAGAAAGAGACACAGTCCAAAGCTGAAAAGGCCAAAGAAGACCTGGAGGCCATAAAGCAGCTGATGGCTGAGAAGAAAAGTCTGGAGGAGGAGATCAAGACCCTGAAGGACAACGCTTCTGAGAAAGAGAAGACGTATCTCAAGGAAAAACAGGCCTCAACCAACCAGGAGCAGCTCACTGAGCTCCAGGCTGAGGAGGTTAGTCAGGGCCTCCGAACTGACCGTGACAAGGTCAAAGAAGAGAACCAAGACAAGACCAGGAAGCAGGAGAAGTATGCCCCCCCCCCCCCCTCACTCACCAAATCTTGAGGTGCTGAAAGACTCTGAGGGGAAGAAAAAAAAAGAAACTCTCGGCCTGGAAACAATTCAAACGTTTCCTTTGGTTTGAATAAGAATCCTGGAATGTAACAGCCGATTGTGGCTCAGTGGAGTGTGTGAATGTGTGTGAATGTTAGTTAGTTCTGATGGACAGCTGACCTGCCATCAGTATAACAATAAAAACAAACTAAACACTACATTATATTCTGCCAGCTCATTGCTTTGGTTAACTAAAACTGCTTAGCTAAAGTTTGCAAAAGATTTTGGTCATGGTTAAAGAAAAAAGACAGGACCAATAAGCACTCACAGCAGCGCAACATGTAAGAAGTTAAAGTCTTAATCCAGACTGAAAGCAACACAGGTTAAACTGCCAAATGCAGAAAGCACAGCAAAAAATCATTGACTGTATGAATGTGTAAATCAACAGATTATAGCACTGCCCCCTATCACGCACAATAAATCTGAATATAACGTGTGTGTATTCCGGGATGAATAAAGTATCTTCTGTTCTATTATATGAAAAGAATGCATTTCAGCATCACAGTAACTTATTTTCTTTTCTTAATTGAGCAGCTGCAACTGTGTTGCTTTCAGCCTGGATGGTGTGTTTAACTTTGTATTTCTTTTCAAATTACAGTTTGTTCCGTTTGTAAAATATGCCGCTCTGCTGACAGCAGACGTGTCCATGTTTGTGATTGGTCATATGCTGCAAACATCGGCGTTCTATGTGAACAGGCTCACAGCCAGGTTGAGAAACCCTGACTTGACTTACCGAGTTGGTATTAACCACTGTCGTAGGACCGTTTTGTAACACTGCAGATTCAGATTCTACTCCCTCCGCCTTGAACAGACATGAAGTAAATTCATGTGCTGGTAATGCCTCTCTGTCACTCTTCACATGAAAGAAAAAAATGAATGTACGACATTGAACATGTGGTATTGTGGTATTAATAGTTGTATTATTAAATACGTTATAACGGAATTCAGAACATAGATTCAGTCAGTGTCGGCCGGGGAATTGCCTCCATTCACGGCTGTCAACATGGCGACTTTATGTACTTTAAACATCCACGGGCGACGGCCGGCAGCTAGCACCTAACTGTTTACGGTGCTAACAACGCGAACAGCGCAAACAATGGCAACAGTGCTGATGAGTTGAAAGTGTTGACCTGTGGGGGGGACCGGAGGATGGCCGTTACGCTTCGGGTCGGGACAACGTTACGAAAGGTAACTTAACCGCAGTACGATGAGCTCAGTGCAGAGCAGCCGGTGGGACACACGGCAGCCAGGCCGGTGCGCTTAGCAGAGTCATGTTGCAGGTGGCAGCATCATTTGTGTTAGAAGGTAGTATACAAAAACGATGCTGTAGCTATCCGCCTCTGCTCGTTGACTCCTGGGAAGTGAATAAAAGTTTGGTTGTAGCATTATCCAGCATTCATGTAACCCTAGCATGCTATACCATCATCCAGCAGTAAAAGTGAAGTGCAGTCAATAAACCGCTCTCTGCCGACTGCCGACGACACGCTCGAGTCCGCAGAGCCCTGAAGCTCCGCCCCCGCTGCTTCACAGAGTTTATTCAGGTTTTTTTTATATTAATAAACATACTCAAATACACACAGACAGACAGAAAGACAGATTCCTTGCTTTAAGTTAGATGTGCACATAGCAAGTATCCTCTTTTTTAAAAAACTTTTCTTATCTTAGGTTTCTTTTGGTCTGCATTCAATAATGACAAAAACATCATTATCAACAATTTTATTCAACATAAGCAAAGAAAACTGCTATTTTGTAAACAATAAACTGTCACTTATAGGAATCATTTGTGTGGAAACATGAGAAGACATTAATCTGAGGTTAAAGAGTTTTAAACATAACAGTCTGGCCCTTTAATCATACAAACTCTAACTTGGTTTAGATGCTCAGAGTCATCACAGTGAGTTGGAGAGGTTTTACATGTTATCTCCGGTGTAATCTGAATTTTTATCCAAATCATATCAGATGAATTTGACAAATATATCTCAGCTTTTGATTTTTAGATATTGTTCTAGCCACCATAAGTTAAAGTTAAACCTGCTACACCAGCAAAACATACTTATCTCTGTACTCATGTTTTGACTCATTACAAATTATTACGTTAAAAACAAAACACATGATTTATCTTAAACATAGGTATTACTTCTTAAAAAAACAAACCTGATCCACAAAGTTTTTATACCCCAGAACCCCTACGTTTCATGCTGAAGGCACATCAGAACTATTAACCAAATAAATATATAGACAGATAGATAATATGTATGTTTATACTTAAACTTCCCAGAAATAACAGTTGCAAACTGTGCTTTTGGTGTAAATCTTTGTGAATTAGGTTTGTAAAGGAAAATACTATATGAGATATAAAATAACATTATGCAAAATGAAGTAAATATGAATGTAAATATAAAGAGATAGTTTTGTTACTTATCCAACAAATCAAGTTCACTGGGGTCTCACTTTGCTTTATCTAACAGCAGCAAAGGCTTTTCTTTAAATGACAGAGTGGTTCAGCCACAGCTTTTAGCCACAGCGTACAGCAGGACATACCGAGGAGGTTCCTCCGTCTATAGACAGGCACACACATACTTTGTTTTTATCATTTCAATTTATAGAACATGGACAATACAGGAATCCCATTCTTAATTATTTTCAAAATATTGTTTTTCTTGTCTTCTCTTAAAAAAAAAAACTGATCTATAAGAAAAATATTTCTTTCGCAGTTTCAAGTGATGCTACTTCAATGGCACAGTGATATGATATAAGGCGGTTAAGACTACTTACTGTGGCAATCACTAATAAAAAACAACTGCGTGACCACAGATAGACTAAGGACAAACTGACCACTGAGCCACTTTAAAGGTTTAAAGGTTGTTGGCATGTAGCATCAACGTGTTGGCTTTTTAATCTTTGTATGTATCAAAAACTGTGACATGCAACTTTTATAGGCAGGATTTATGCAGCAACAACATTTAGTATTTTGATTTCCAACATATCTTCCATCAATTACATTTCTAATCAAGCCACAGTTCATATATTCATGAACTTGTAGTTTTAACTGTTTAATCATTGGGCATCAGCATCACAAATACATTTCTTGGTGGAAGTTGTAAATGGGCCAGATTTGAATCACAAATGCATTTCTATATATTTTTCCATATGTGGGCAATATAACCAACCTGTCTGATCTTGTTTTTATGTCGTGGTTGCAACATTTCACCTCTTAAGCCAACATCAGCCTCGACCGTGCCCTAGTGTTGGGCCTTTTTCAGGTGGCAGGTGCAGACTGAATGACCAGAGCTCGTGCTGGGGCTCTGCTGCACCTCCTCTCTGTGCTTTGGCTGCTCTTTGTGCTTGGGCTCCTCTCTCTGCTTTATCACCTCCTCTGCCTCGCTGACCTTTCTCACCTCCTGGCGGGGCGACGACCTGACGTCTCTGCCCCTCTCACCCACCAGAGCCTTGGAGGGCACGCGCAGGTGCTTGGGGGAGGCCATGCTCTGAGTCTGGACCCTCTTGACGTGGTCGACGGCGCACGGCCGCTCCTGGGGCTCGCTTGAATTTTTGCGTGCGCCGGTCTTATCAGCCACAGACTTCTTGTTTGGCTGAGGAGGGGGTTTGTTGGCCTCCAGCTTGCGCTTATGACTCATGGCAGAGGCGCAGCAGATGATGAAGACCATGACGATGAGAAGAGAGGTCACCACGATGATGATGAGCAGATTCTCCTGCAGGAAGTCCACTACTCGGGTGAGGACGAAGTCCTTCAGGCGGATCATGGTGGTGGTGATGGTGGTGGTGATGGTGCTGGTGAGGTTGGGACCTCCAGTGGCAGCAGAGACCTGAACAGGCGCTCGACTGGAGAAAGAGGTTGGAAAAATGAGCTCCAGCTCTGCTTCATCACCGCTGCCGTCCATGGATGTGTTGTAGAACAGAGGAGTGGCGTGACACACTGAGAGCAGGGTCACACAGGCGACGAGAGAAAACAAACGGGACTTCATCTTCTCCTCTGAGTCCTGCAACAACAATGGCTATCTTGAATTTAGGATCGAATAAGGAAATACATGTATTTCCTAATCTAACATGGATGCGTCAGACCCCTAAAGGCTAGAGCCATGAATTGGTTAGCTTAGCTTAGTAAAATGCTGGAAAGGGGGAAACAGCTAGCCTGACTGTCTAAAGGATACAGAAAGCATCTAGCAGCACCATAAAGCTCACTAATGAACACTTCATCCAGTTTGTTTCATTTTTTTTTTTCCTTTTATCATTTTAATAATCTTGTGACCCCTCAGATATTTCTTGTGACGCATTGTCAATACTAACTCGTGTCAAGCAGTCTAAAACAGACACATACTAAGAAAATAAAACTGTTTTAAACGTCCGTTTCCATCTGAAATGCAGCTCCAGTATTCATCTTCACTCAGGTTTTTCTAGGGTTTCTGCCGTTCCCCATCTAGGACCAGATCTATTTTAGCAGGCAATTGAGCAGCCATTACTTATTTGGGGTGGAGACAGTGAGTTTGGTGCTGAAGGCCTTATAATTTGTAAAGTAGAGGGAGGCCACCCATCCACCACACCAAAGCCAGAAGGAAGCTATATTCCAGGGTGAGCACAGAGGCTGTGGCCTCTATATTTACACTGGGCAGCAGCTGTTGTAGGCTACACCAGCCCACAGCAGCACAGGCCTGAGGAAGATATTTCTGCTTCCAGTAAAACCAGCATTTACCGACAGTACAACTGTATGAATAAACTTCCTGAGCCAATGTTACATTTCTTCCATCCTTCTTCTCAATGTGAAGTCAAGCTCCAACAAAACAAAATCCAGTTGTGCAGGGCTCAGTCTGTTCCCATTTAGAATAGACAGTATAATTACACAGTGCTAAGCTGTAACGACAAGCTTCTAATCAGCATCATGCTATAGTGAACCTGCTGCCGCTGTGATGTACATTACACGGTGTGAAACCCCCCTCCCTGTGTGGTCGAACATACAGTACTCTGCTGGACCACATGGTAGGCTGGGTCTTCCTCCTTGGATGTAAAGCTATAGGACAGCACTGCCCCTTGAATCCTCATAATTATAGCCATAATTACATTCCCCGTATTTCACTGGAGGGTCCACATTACCTTCAACTGAAGGCCATCAACCCACTTCATGACATTTGAGTGCTTAATGTCTCAAACTCTTGAATCTTCTTTCAATTTCCAGCAGCATTTTTATGGCTGTATCTTTACATCATGGACGTCTTGGCCATTATTAACTACACATTTACTCCAAATTCAGTCCGACAGACGTGATAGTTTTGGAAAAGTTAGTCTCAACCATAAAATGAAAATAAGCATTAAGTTGCAAAGATGGAGCCACTGGTTAGACCATGTCAAAGCATATTCTTACATATTTACATATTATAACATATTAGGTAACCTACAGTACAGTAGATTAGACACAGGATGAACATTCATTACATCATTGATCTTTAAAATAGAATGAAGAAAACCTCGAGGGTCGAAAGTAAAATATAAGTAAAAGTGTTATTTCAGGAATGTAAGATATACCATTACAAGTTAAAGCCCTGCATTATAAATCTTAATTAAGTAATACCTTGAAAGTATTAGCAAATTATACTGAAAGTATCAAACGCAAAAGTCCTCATTTACCATATCTTATAAACTGAAAATCTATAAAGTAACTGTAGCTATTAAATCATTGCAATGGATTATAGTACAATTTTTACTCCCTGAAATTTAGTGGAGTATAAGTACAAGGTGAAATACTCAAGTGAAGTAAAAGTATCACAAAATTGGAGTACTTGAGTAAATACTTATTTACATTCCACCACCACATTAGTTTTATGAACCAACTTTAAACAATATGAACCAACGACTTGAAACTTTACTCAACACGTCAGTTTGGATACACAGACTGCTCTGAAATACATTAAATATTTGTCTGTGGTTTTAACTTGCTTTAAATACTTTTCAAACATAAACACATACTTACAGAAAGTGTTATCCTGGGTTTCTCCTCTGAAGAGCACAACACAGGGCAGAAGACAGAGAGGAAAGTAAAGGGAAGACAAAGTAACAAGAAGAAAGTACGAGGGAAAGAGAGTTCCCGAGCATCCGTCGTCCTTGCTGAATTATACCCACTGTTTTTTACTGAGCTCTAAAACGTCTGCTCACTGCAAAATGATGCCCATCCCTCCATTTCCAACCTCTCCTCCCTCTTTCTGCCTCCCTTACTCCCTCTTCTTCCTCCTGCACATATGGGGTGTCCATCTGGGATTGAACCTTTTTACTGTACATCTTTTTCTGAACTATGAGAGGGAACAGCGATGTAGTATTTATTCTGTATATAATGACATTTACTAATACCAGAGAAATACTAAATGGTCTCCAATTTGTAATGTACCACAATGTGTGTTGATTTATTTAACGTTAAACTTAAACTGAGCTTTCAGCTTTGAAACTCACTGCAGAGACATTGCAGTGAGAACACGAGTCCCATGTTTTAAGGAAATGGGTATTTCTGTACTTTGCGGGGCGAGTCCCACGAGTCCTCTGCTTCCCACTGAGTCCTCTCTAATTAAGTCCTCGTTGATTACACCCCTCTCTACAGGGCACACAAGACCAGCGCAGAGAGAAAGCAAGCCCTTTCATCCCGCAACACACGTACAGAGCGAACATATCAACTTCATGGTCTTTTAGCAGCACTTATCTCTGGTCAAGTCTCTAAATATACAGGGCGTCTATTTCAGGCTGCTGATGGTGTGAGCTGTTGATATTATACCTGATCAGCATGAGATTTAGTGAAGAAGGGAAGCAGTTCCCCAGGTTCAGGATGCACAGAACCTTGATAGAGGGATTCTTCATATTTCTGCTTGTTTATCTTTGTGACTTAGAAATGTTCGGTTTCTCATTTTTGCTGTAACAGACTTGCACTGAAATAGAGTTTGGTTATTTTTAGTGGCTCGAACACAATACCAGTTCTTTGGCTAACTTTATATTAAATTCAATCAACTGTACACTCCAACATCTCATTTTGGCCATCTGTATTTATAACCGTTCAGTCTATAAAAGAGAATGGCAATAATTAAAACAAAGAATAAATGTCTAGGTTTCACAACACTGATGGTAATCTGACCTTTAAAGTTATTAGGCTGGTAATATTTCACCAAATCAAAACACCAAAGTGAATCATGAATTGATCCTATAGACAAAGTGTTTCATGTATAGCCAAAGCCTGATGTCACTTATTCCTCTGTTTTCCTAGAAAATACTATACTTCCCCCCCCCCCCTGACAATGAAAATGGACCGTGTAGATCATTTTGAGTCACTCACAGTGTCCTGCTGCTGTAAACTCACTGGAGCACTGACGGTCTGCAGCTAATAATAGTCCAAAACAAATGTTCTCCTGTCGGAGTAATGATTCTTCAAAACTACAGAGCCCAGCTGTTTAGGGAAACAACAATTACACTGCAAATATTTGCAACCCATTTTTAAAGATGCAAGTCTTCAGAGGAACACATCGGACAGGCTGAGAAAGTTGTAAATTACCGAGACATGGACTCCTTGTTGACTTTGGTCTTTTCATGGGGTTTGTTGACAAGAACATATATAGTCCAACACCACACCAGCCCTAGCCTTCACAGAGGCCCAGGCTTTATTTCCAGTACCGTCTTCCTCTTCAGTGCAGTCGTTGGACTTCAGGCTTGTATCCAAAGGCTCAAAAAACACTTTTTCAAACAGTAATGACCGAATGCAAAAGATACAGTCCATTTTAAAAAGTCTTTATTATTTTTTTCTTATAATCAATGTTTGATGCTTGAAGCAAGAATAATGAACAAAAACGCTGAGCAGACCTCCAACATGAGGCTTCATTCTGGTTCATTTTGGTCTGATTTTCTTTCTTGATATCGGTGCGACCTCCGACATTAACAGAGGCTCTGCTTTTCTCAAGATGCATTATGGCAAGGTGCAGAGAACACAGACGAAGAGAAACATTTAAAACACACCTCCCACACAAATACCCTCTTCAGCACAGCCACGAAAAAAAAAAAAGAAACTTTATGGTCATGTTATTTACACAGCTTTCACTCGGTTTTCCTAAAGAACAAACATACATCTATCTTTCAACTGCACGTCTCCAACCTACAGAGTCCCTTTGGATCGCTATTCACTACTCCTCAAACCTTTGCTCTCGTGCGACCAGTGCTATAAAGAATCCACAGAGTGGTAGATAGAGCAGTACACACATTTCTATAGCCCTGCTGTAACTTCCTGTTGCTAATATTCTACGACTTGCTGCTCAAATTGCATCTCAAAGCCACGATGACTCAAAAGGCTGCCGACAGCTTCTCGGTTTGACATAATTTTTCGAGATGTTGTGAATACCCGTACCGAGGTGGAAAGTGTCAAAATGTCCGGGGCACATTGCTTACTAACAAACCTCGACCAGTAATGCTGCCTGGTGTATTGTGGGATGGACTGGCAGGACTTCATGATGTCCACAAACAGCTGACACAGTACTTTAGGAGCAGAGTCCTTTGAACATAGTTTTCTTTTTAAGTATATTTAAGTATAGCACCTCAAAGTGGTTTTGAATCCGGGCACCGATCAACTCTTCCATTTACTACACAAACCTACTCTCACAACAGTCCCCTACGAACACTTGCATGATCACCTCTATGGCACTTTCAGGTCTTTACAGTGGTAACAATTATTGAAGGCAAACAACAGACTGAACCTTTACCCGTCTCAGTAATCAAATCTAAAAACATCAAGAGGAGCCGTTATCATAGCGGTCTGGTCAAAACAGCTCAGGCTGGACAACTCAATAGTTGCTTGATTTTGTGATAACTCAACTGAACAGGAGCTTCTGAGGAATAAACTATTAAAAAAAAAGAAAAAAGTGGAAGTGCTAAGAGGGAAATAAGCACAGCTGGAACAAGAAACAGGCTAAAATTAACAGTGAAGCAATACCCAACTATTCAATTCATCCAGGTTAGAGGCCAGTCTTGGACATTCTACCGTGAGTCCATTTCATAACCCCCCCCCCCCCCCCCCGCCGCCCCCGACAACAAACACAGCAGGAATATCCACAGTGACAGGTACCCAAAAGACCAAAGACATGAGGCACATATTCACACACAATCTAGGCCTTTAAGGTCCACCATGAACAGTTTCTGTAGCAAACTCCAGTTTTATCACCAGAAGGTTTTAAATAGTCACGTTATGTGATTGATGAGTCATTTCATGTCGATTCCTGTATTGGTTTGTACAGAAGATGCAGATCTGAGATGGCATATAGTGCGAAGGAACAGCGACAGAAACATAATCCCACTACACGTGACGAGACACCGAGGTCGGTGACGGAACCTCTCGCAGAAACAAAAGCAGGTGTTTTACATGGGACATAGATGTCACAATAACAATCACCCAGTGTGACTGTGTCACTACAGCAGAGTGTTCACAGAAAGAAGAACTTTATAGAAGTATCTCCCTCTCCTCCCCCCCGACACCAGAAACTGCCAATGAGATTTGTGGAATGCGTTTGTCACTTTCTCCAATAAGCACACAGTGCGTGTTAATGAAGCAAGACGGAGAGGAATGCTTGTTTACGTGGACTATTGTCCACAGTCAGAACGACGGGAAGCAACGGGAACGAGAAGAAATGGCAAAAAGCAGAAGTTAAGTTGTGCAGCTTCAACAAAGACGGCGAGAATGGTCATTTATGTGTAATGTCTGGGTGTAGACCGTGGCAGCTAAATGGCTCCCGTTTACGCCTCATTACAGAGTTCTTCCTAGTATAACCATTCATCTTATTCAAATTATTTTAGTTCCATAGTTAATCATTGATGACATCCTTACACAACCAGTCTACTGTGCCGGGTGTCCCCGTTGGCATTTTGACTCGTCCCACAAAGAGAGAGAAAGAAATACTGATGAGGTGTAAACAAAATGTCAAATTTGGCAACATAATTTTGGGGTATAGTAACATGAAAGACTGAGACCTACTTAAAAAATATTTGGGAACGCAATGGCAAATGCTGACTATTGATATTGGAATTTTCTTGGTCATATTTCTAAAATGCAAAGGAATATGTAAAACCCTTTTTATACAAGACGACAAAATAAAAAATAAAAAAAAGACTGCCACACAATAAAAGGAATAGAGTCCTTTGTCACCGAAAAGCAAAGAGCATTTTGTACTAAATTTGCCACACGTCCTCATTCCACCTGTGTTAAACTGAGGGTCGGGGGCTGGCTAAGAAAAAGTTCAACTGGAATGTTGCTAGGGATCGTTGCTAGGCAGGCTTCAGGCGAAACACTGTCATTGAGATAGGCAGTGACTGATCCCGCCCACCCCCCGGCCAATGAAACGTCCTGAATTGTAGCGGGTTGGGTAAAGGGTCCCTAAATGGCAATTTTGGACATTTGCTCTTCAAGTTTGATGATTCGCTTCTCCTGACTGCTCACCAGGTCCTTGAGAGATTTGATTTCACTCAAGATCTCCTCCAGCTTGGCCTCAGATTTCTGTGGGAAACACAAGACACGAGTGAGACACTTTTTTTGTTGTGTTTGTAGTCATTTCTAGCACAACTACGGTCACGTTTGAACCGATAACAAACCTAAGGTACATCACAACAGTGCACAAGACACTTCCTGTCTGAAAGCTGGTAGCTACAGTCTGACTGTAGATGCCATGTGGCACGGCTGGTACTCTGAGGGTTAACATGCTTTGCCAGCGCTGGAGCCCAGTGGGCTGTGATTACAGAGCACAACTGCTGAGAGACGCATGGGCTGGGTCCCAGGCGGGTGGCTGTGTTGTGGGTGAGGTGCGGCAGGACGCCCAGCAGTAGGCGTCCAGAGCAGGAACAGTTTGTGGGTCAGAGAGTGGGTTGAATAACATCTACAAACCACCTCATGAAGACAGCCAGCAATCTGCCCTGCTTCCAACACATACAATTTGTCCGCTTAACATTGTGAGTGTGTGTGTATGCATGTATGCATGGACACACATATACACACACACACAGTAAAAAAACAAAAAACACTACAATGTATGTAAAAACACAAATGTTCACTTAGACTTCCCAATATTATGCAGTCTAGAGATTAAACAATAAGTCGATCAATCAAAAAAAAAAAAAAAAAAAAAAAAAAAAAGCAGCAACAATTACATCAATTAATCATTTAAGGATTTTTTTTTTTTTTTTAACAGAAGTAACAAGCATCCCCTCGTCCCAGTTCCTCAATAATAGGAGTCTTTTCTTTGACAGTAAACTGAACATCTTGGGGTTTTGTTGGTTGGTTGGACAAAAACTGTATCAAGATGTCAACTTGGCCTTTGAGGAAAGTTTTAATTTGTATTTTTATTATATTCGGACATTTTATAGATCAAACGATCATTTTTGAAAATAGTTGGCAGATTTTTACGACTATTCTAATCATTTTTAGTTGCAGCTCTAATCCAGTTCACAGTTAACTTCCTCTTCTGATAGTGTTATCCATATCAGAAGAAAATCTGTTGTTTCATATTGCCCAGCTCTACCAAGTGGAAGATTGACTATCTAATGTAATCCTGCCATGGAAAAAGCAAATACTCACAATCGATGGAGTCGGGGAGGCAGACTTGTTGGCAGGGCTCGAGTTCTCTGTGTTCTTGGTGTCCAAAATGTTCTTTTTGACCACCTTGAATTCACGGTTCTTGCCCTGGACGTAGCCGTTCTTGAGGGAGATGAGGATCGGGTCTCCGTTCTTGCCATCAAACCACTCCTCAGCCTCCAGGGCATGGTCGGGTCCAGATGTGTCCGGGTACAAGTCGTCCTGGAACAGGTCCGACTGACGAGGAAAGAGAAAGAGAAACGCTGTGAGGAAAACTCTAAAAAGCAGCAGAGTATAAAAACAAGGTCTCACTTGGCTGCCGGTGATTCAACATGTGGATTAGGGGTCTGGTAACAAAGTGGCCATTTAGGACTTGGACTCACCTTTCTCGGTACAGTCATCACGATAGGCTCACACTTCCTTTCATGCAGTTTATAGAACCTGGCAACATATAAATTAAAAACAATTACCCGAAATTCAATGGATTACCAAACAACAAAAGGCCCCGGACATCTTTTTATTCTGTGGACTGCCCCGAGAGGGCTGAATGATTATGTCATGATCGCGTCCTGCCTCCTAGTGGTGGAGTTAGAGACTCCATATTAGATCTGGTTGACTAAAAACAAAGCTCAAAACTAATTCTGGTGTTAAGCGATAGTTATTAGCCGTCCATCGCAGCTTACCTCGCAATTTCACACTTATTGACATCAAGGCCCCTCTTGGGCATGTAGCCCATGCCCCTCTGGGGCTCCTTGGTGGCAAAGGTGCTGAGGAAGTGAACATACGGAGCCTCGTCTGTGATTTCAAAGTAACGGATGCTGCTGTCCCCCTGTGAAGAAATAAAGAAGTCTTTTAGTTTTGTATTCAGCGATGTGGAAACGTAGCAATAGAGCGCTCACAAAGGAAACTCACCTTCCCACAGAGGTAAACGACGTTGGTGTCTGGGTCATAGAAGGGCAAGAGCACTCCGTTGCTGGTGTCCATCTCATTAACAGTCATGGGCTCCTCCATGTTATCCTGAGAAGAGCACGACAAATAATACAGTTGGTCTGTTGCGGAGACTAACAATACAGAAACGTAGGGCAGAATAAATGGCTTTCAAAGAAAAAAAGAGAGGAAAAAGTGGTTTTACTTTTAATAGCTGAGAATAATGTAGCAGATTTCATTGTTAAAAAGTTGTGAATGTGGTGTTTATTTTTAAAACTTGTGTACCATTTAATTTATACAGTTGGCGTAAATGAAAAGCCTGCTCTCTGAACAGTCTAAAGACTGTTAAATCCAGTATTGCAAGTCCTTAAGACAGCTCTAAGACCTACGTTTCAGTTTGAGACGTAGAGCCCAATACCACTGAACTGATGAAGAGCAGTCAGCACACATGAAGCAGCTTACCGGGTTCCAGAGGGCGAGCTGCCTCTCACTCATGCGACTGAATCCTGTGGTGAGGACGTTGCCGTTAGACAGGAAAATGGCTCTCATGGGTCGAGCGCCCTCGTGTGCCTTCTCCTTCTCCTGTGAAGAGTAGTTTACAGGTCAGCGTAACACGCGTGTGCTCAAGTCACCATCTCCTGAGCAGTTTATCATCATGTCCACTTCAGCTTTTGAGCATAAGCTCTACTTTTAGACAAGTGGCAACACAAAGCATTTTATTCAGATTGAACTTAATAGCTTTCACAAATTTATATAATACCCTAACCCTATATAATACCCTAACCCTATATAGTGATAGTTTGGTGTCACACTTAAGGGAACAAGGTTGCTGAACGCAGGCCTTCCAGCTGAAGCAGTCTCCCTACTTGCAACCCCATCTTACTGCACCTTGATTTATATTAACCTCTCATATACAATACAACAAAGAGAACATGTCACAACAAAGAAATCCTTTGAAAACGGCTTACAGCAATCATCATCTCCTTGCGGGGATCGATGACACGGATGGCCTTGTCCTTGCAGGCGGTGCAGATGAGGCTACCGTTGCGGTTCCAGGTCACGTTGTAGATGACATCTGGGTGCATGTCATCCAGGGTGATCATAGCCTCTCCTGTGCCCACGTTCCAGATGACGATCTGGTTGTCGCAACCTGACGACAGAGCGGTATAAAAAGGTGAGCAGGAAAGCAGCCCATCCAAGTCAAACACAATATCTATTGCCACTAAGATGATAAGATGACAACGCAAAGACTTCTGTTTGAATAGAACTTTGTTTTGTAGATTCAGGGATACAGAGACGGCTCTTACCTGCACTAAGAAGGACGTTGCGTGCTGTTGGATGCCATGTGATGATGCCAACGCGCTTGGAGTGGCCCTCCAGCACCACCACTGGCTCAGCCATTGAAGTCACAAGGCCATTCTCAGGAATCTGCCAGACCTGTGGGGTCATAGACGGGACAGAGTTCAGGAACACGACAGACAGTGAAGCCGGAGGGACTCCTATATTTACCCCCGTATCTAAACTCTGAAAGATGTTATTGTGAATCCGTCAACCCCACCCTACCAATTGTATTACTGTGCAAAGGGACACCACAAAGATGTAGTTACCAAAAGGAACCTGAGGGGGGCAGCAGTGACTAAGTGCTCCAAACATCATATTCAGATTTAGTGACAGATGAGACTTAAAGTCAAATTTAGTAAAATACAGAACAAGCATGGTCCTTCTACTAAAAATGATAAACAAGAATGCAGTCTGCTTTACCACTCCCACCCAACAGGATTCCTGATAAATGAATTAACTTAGAGATTTACTGTTGACACATGAAGTGTTTAGCAATACCTCTGTAGCATTTATCTCCATGTATTCAACCACCTTTCTTAGCATGCTAATACAATGATATAAAGGGTTCTGTATGTGCACGTTTTAAACAGCAGAACTGGTTAACATGCAGCGAGTTGTGCACTATGCACTTTACGTGATGTGACGATTAAAATCCATTCTTTTTTGTAAAAATATACATTTATGGTTGATGTAGCCACGTCCACATCATGGTGCATATCAGTCTGCAGTTACAGCACCAAACAACAACAAGAGCCTGTTTAGGCTGTGAGCTTTCCCTTCAAAAGATCACATGCTATGAAAAGAGGAACCATTGACAGCTTCTCTGTTCATTTCATGGCTTATACTTCTGCACACATGAACTAAATATGGCCTTGACTCAGAGAGGGTCTAACAGGAAGTCAGGACTTTCAGGTGAGGAAGTAGTAGCAGCAAACACAAACAGGCAGCACACTGATCTCACTTCACTGCCCAAATAAGGACATGTGGAGGAAAGTACAACTGCAGTCTCAAAAAAAGTCAGTGACCTCAGCTCAATAAACAGCTAAATCATTCCCCGGCTCTGATTACTGCAACACATATTTGAGTCTAATCTAATCCAGAGGGTGAGGTCTGCACCCATCCACCCATCCCTGAGTTACAACAGCCTGGCCTTCTGCAACAAAACCACGTAGTCGCCAGACACTTATCAGCTCAATAATGTGTGTGTGTGTGTGTGTGTGTGTTGCATTTACCCCAATTAAGAGGTCTGGGTTCAGGTGGAACGGGCGTGGCAAACCTTACCATCACTGTGCAGTCCTCGGAGCCGCTGGCGATGACGTGATCATTGTGGGGACACCAGTCAATGTCTAACACCGGGCCTGTGTGACCACACACTGTGGGGTAGGATTTGTCAATGCGTCCCGTCTGTAAAGACAAAAGGTAAACAACAGAGTAATGAGATTAGGTTTACTCTGATCCTGCTCAGAGAACATTGTCCGTGCTGGAGGAGTGAGCACGTTTTGAAACAGGTCAATTACAGTATAATCCTAAATCCCACCTGCAAAATTAAGCTCTCACTCTCACACTCGCACTCACTCTCACACAGCATCTAGGAAAAGGCGCTTTATCAGATTCATTCCACAGAGAAAATGAAATTATGTGCGAGTGACGCAGCCTGAGCCGAGAATCAGAACTGAGGGAGACACTTTATGTCTGTTAAAGTACGATTCATTTCTCTTGTTGAAAAACCCTTCCATTGAATTTAATACAATCTATTATTTGAGGATTTGGAAGTCACTTTGAAAGAGTGATGACATGAGTGTACTCAAAGAAATCATAACCATCCTCATGTGCCTACGCCGTTTGAAGACTGAACAACTTATACTGGAAATGAGTTTTGGATTTGATTGCACAACACGGCACTTTTTGAATAAGACTAACTGTGTTGACAAAAGTTTTTAAGATGCGAGGGGAAATCCCAGTCACATAAAAACTTCTCCCAAGGATTTATTAAGCATTTTTAGTCCTTTAACATGGCCCAACAAACTTAACTGCCTGAAGCCAGAATCTTGGTTCGTCACTCCATATTTCACCCAAAAAAGCTAGTTTTTTTAAAAGTGCTGCTTAGAAGCAAACAGATTAGATTTAGCTTCTATTGGACCACCCACAGCAACGAAGGAAAGTTGTTAGTGGTGACGTCGTTATACAGTAGACGTGCCGCAGCATCTCCTTACTTCAAAAAATGGTAGCCCCTGTATCAAACACTTTACATAACCCGCTTATACAACTAATGGACTGCATGGCTACAAATGCATTCCTGGTGCCCACCAACACACAAATAAACATACACACAGACAACCTTCAGTTATACTGTACATCCTGAGCTGGATTTGACCTCTGACCCATACTAGCCAGCAGACCCAGGTGCTCTCTCGACACTGTGAGGTGACTTAACAGTCCCCCGCTGTGGTGGACGTCTGAGACACACCCGAGTCTGTGCTGAATTCAAGCACTGCCGCAGGGCTGAAGAGATGATGTCACTTACTGTGGAAAGAGTCCTGCTGCTGCTGCAACCCTATTTAAAGCATGATGGCTTCCCTAATATAAAAAAAAAAGAAGACTCATTCACTGCCCAGAGCTATTCTGCCATTATATTGAGAATTTCAAAAATGATGGCTTGAGAAGCGTGACTAAATCTATGAATTGTATATTCAATAACGAGTAAGAGGTACAACCAGAACTAGACGTAAACCTCACGAGTACATAAACGTTAGAAGTTTGGGGTCACATGTTAGGTGGATGTTTTGTACAAAGAGAACATATTTTTGTGAATAGGACTTTCTACAACCTAAGAGCATGAAAGACAAAGTATAAAGTAGGCCTCTCAGCCATCCGACAGGGGCAAGCATGCATGCACAGAGTATGCTCAAGGGATTTACACTGGCGGTACACTCCCAATACATTTGGAGATCACACAGCAAAATGGCATGTCTGTGACACGAGTTATTACAGTGTGTATTGATTGTCCAGATGGCATTTTTTTAACACTAATCCACTGTTATCTGCATATTATGTGTTTGGGTTTCTTTAGTGGCCTCTTGGAGCAATTCTTTGAAACTATTGTTTAAAAAAAACAAAAAAACAAAAAAGGTTCCTTTGAGTCGTGTCGTCTCCCACTGCAACTTAGCTCCTCCAACTGGTGTGGACATCAAACTAAGTGATTTGTGAACACCAGTGAGTAAACTATTATCTACCTGCAGCACCGTATTCAACAGCAGTTGCACATCAAGACAAATTTAATTCCATTTATCAAACAGCGACGCAGTAAACTAGAGAGGTGCACACTTCAGTCAGTGAGACCGGGACACAAAAGGCTCACACGGGAGGAGTATGCCTTCAGTGCTTTCTACCAGAAAGGGTTTATTTTAACCCAAAATCACAATCTTTAGCTAAACCTAACCAAGTGGGTTTGTTGCCTAAACCCAAGGAGGTGACTGGCAGAAAGTCTTCTCCCATGTGCACAAAAGGCTAAACTACTGGTGTGAGTCTCAAAGTTCCAAAGAGCGCGAGCTCACCCTAAATTGTACATTATGGCTTTTGAAGCCAAATGATGACATGTGACTTAAAGCTTTCAAAAGGACAGAACTGTCAGAGAGATGAATACAGACAGCAGTAAATAATGGCCATTTAGCCTCTTAGTGCAACTCCCGGTCTGCAGCGCACTACGATATGCTCAGAATTTCAAAAGAGCAGGAAATGAAGTAACGTATCAAGTGAGGAACACAAACCCAGAGTCAAGCAGAGGATGCTGGTCTGGGCCTTGGAGGGACAGTCCAGTCCCTGATAAGAGTGTCATGTTGCTCTTAGACATGTCCCTGCCTCTGCTACAGCAGATACAGCAGCCTGGATGAGAGGGTACTTCAAGCCTGCTGCTGTTACAGTGCACATCCAAAGTGGTTCGGCTGATATCACCAAGTAACACGATTCATATCTCAGTGGTTCGTTCATATTCAGTGAAACATGTGTATGTTTCATGGGTCAGTAGAGTCTTAAACATGGACATAAGTGACTCTAATATATGAAAATATTTGGCCTGTAACCATGCAGTCACCTGACTGACAGAGTTGGGCCGTGACACATGCTCCACCTCGCAAGTTTAGTGATCAAAGTCCAGTGTGTGTGTGTGTGTGTGTGTGTAAATCACAAGATCGTGTCTAAACCTCACCCTGACTGTTGAACACACCCTGAAATCTACCCTGAAGCGGAGTGTAGAGAAAGCAGACTTTGACACTGCTGTCAATAGGGATCTATGAGCCGCCATCCGGTATCAGATAACGTTACCAATACAGTTGAGACCGGTGACCTCCCCCTCTGCAGCTGGTTGTGCTTCATTTTATTTCGTTGATCACAGAACAAGAAAATGTGCATTACGAGATAGACGTGATATCTGTGCATATTCATTTCATCTCACGCCGTAGAGATGTATATGACAGCTGAGCTTACTGGAGCTTTCCTGCACATGATGTCCTGAGGACAGTAGGGACAGGATGTAGAGCAGGAAGGACACAGACTGATGACCAGGTGTAGCAACAGGAACAGCACAAACAAATCTGACAAAGAGCGAACTGAAGGCTTGTGCAATCACAGCGATCAAAGTTATGACTTTGCCTTCTTTAATAACTCTGCAGTAACATGTTTCCACAACATTAAGAGATCCAGAGTGCTGTGGATCATGTTCAGTAGTTCTGTTCTCCTCCAGCGGGCCTCAGAGCGCCATCTAGTGGGCTTAGGAGGCACTGGCAAATGGTTAGATGAATTAAAAATCATATTTTTGATAATTTAAGAAGCTAGTTGTTTTTATATCTAAATGTGTTTAAGGATTCACAGATAAAAAGGTCAAATTATAATATCGAATTTCAATAACCAGCTACATTTGCGTATCAACCCTCCAATCATGACATATCAGTTTTACACTCTTAACTCGCTCACGTTCCCTCGGATGCAGTGACACGAGGATGACGGGTTTTTGAAATGAAAAAGCGATATGTGAGGCAACCCTGCACCGGAAAAAGCATCAAAGATTCTTCTCATTTAATTAGGAAGATGGTCCTCAAGTTTTTTCTTTTACCAAATTACAAAAAAAGGTTGAGAGCTGCACTCCCTGCACACCCAAAAAAAAAAAAAAAAGAAAGAAAAAAAACACATTGTGAGACTATTTGAATAATGTAAAGAAGTCGCCACCAATTCCACATCAATTGGTGCAGTACTACCATGTTACATTACACAGATGGGTAGATGTAACGATGTTATACTATTCACAAACACTAGGCTCATAAAACAGGATGGTTTATGTTCACTTGGCTCCTAATATGCTGTAAACTAACAAACAACAGTGTTGTGTAATGCTGCGTATGTCTAAGAGCAGGAGGGAGTTTACTACGAATGTACCGTAAAACTCATTTATCGGAACCTCAGAACTGAGTGCGTGAAGATGTGTACTTTAACTGATGAAGGGTTGGTTTAACGTTTGACTTTTCTTGCTTGTACATGCAATTAGAAGAATGTAAAAAAACAAACATTCGTGATCAGCATAAATTCATGTTTTATGCCCGTGCTTGAAGAAACTTGGTCGACAGATTAAGACCACCTACGGGCGCGATCAGTGTTTCGACATCAACACTCGGAGAGACTCCTCAGCACATCCCTCATGTTAACTCCAGTTCAGACACGCCGCAAAGATTCCGACACCGCCTCATACATTAAGCTCAGTGTTCCACCATTTTCCAGCAACACTTTTAAGTCACCTGCATAAACTCAAAAGAATCCTATAAATATATAGTTTAGAAATAAATGGCTTCTATGGTTGACTTGCAGCAATTAACCATGAAGCCTCAGCAACACTCGAGCTGCGCTCTGGAGCTCGACCTCCTGATCAACCCGAGCAGCAGCTCGACCCGAGAGCGTTCCTAACATTCCACACCTCGGCCCCAGGCAGCATGGGTATGACTAACGAGAGCGAGAGGGCCGCTAGGGTGTCAAATGTAGCACCCTTTGAGGCGTTAATGGTGTTCGTGTCCGATATACACAATTTGGAATTCCAGGGTATGAAGAGCGAACACAAGTGGATCTTGCTTCGAGTCTGCGTAAACAACTGATAACGTGATACGGAGAATGCAGTTTGCATCGAGTCCGATCATTGAAATTGTTCATACTGCCAACGACCCAAAGCTGCACACAAGGTAGCTTGGGACACACACTGCATTGCAGTGAGGGAGCTATACCTGTGCCAACTTGTTGCATTCTCCCTTCGGTCTCTCTGGGAAAGCAGAACTTCAGGCACATTTGCAAGTCTGTATTCGTCGTAAAATGAGGCATTTGTACAAAAACATCCACCAGAATGTCACGAACCAAAAACACAATGAGAG